AAAAACACCTCTGAAAATAGTAACAAGTTGTAAAAAACCAATTATCGTTTGTCTTTGAGCAGCTCTTCACAATAATTTACTCTTTTGTCACAGATCGCTCAGAACTTGACTGCTGCTCTTTCACGTTTTATTCTTCTCTCCGAGGAGTCTCATACTTCACTGCATAATATCACAAAAATGCTTGAGTTATGACGCAAGAATAACCTTAGACAAATACAACACCAGGAAATTAGTTCTGAAGCGAGAAGAATAATGCATAAAAATTTGCTGCTACAAAAACGCCAAACAAAGAGTTAACAACTTGATCTCATAAATAGCAAATCTCTTAGGTCATCTTTTCTCTTCCGCTATTTTTCATGTGGTCGCTGAGCACAGTTTTCAAAATACCTTTCCAGACAGACCTTGTCAACTGTGTTCAAAAATGTAGATCGAATAACCACATGTCTTGTGTCCTGTTCTAATCGGAATGGCAAGTACCTCAAGCGTAATAAATTAAGCTCAACAAAGCAAACAATACTTTGAAGCATAAATAAGTATTAAAAAGAATGAAAAAAAAGCGAACCAAGACCATTGTAGTACAAAATTTTAACAGTGAAATGTATAAGCTTTTACAATAAACTAATTGCGGAGGAATTTTTCTACTCACTTACTTTCCAAATTGTAGATTCTCTAACATAAAGCGGCCAAATTTTTCCACTTGTTTTTTGTCTGGTTTATGAAATTCACAAGTCCACTGGCACACTATAATGCCGTTCATATCCAAGGCTCCATCCGGCAAGAAATATGGAAGCATATCGTACTTAAAATATTATTTATATTTGAAAGCAGCTTTGTTGCGTTAAATTTCGTTTAAAAACCTAAAAAAACTGTTATAAATAGCTCTGATTAAAACCTCTGTTCCCTCGACATCCATCAACAGGTAGTCAATCACAGTTTTTACTTTGACACACTTTTTCAGAAACCTTAATAAATCAAAATGTTGGACAGGCACAGACTGATATTTCCAGACGTTATTGTCTTCTGAAAATATGCTAAAAGAAAAAGACTTTCTTAAATAAAACAGCTAAGAAATTGCAAAATATTCCTCAAAAAACAAGGTCACTAAAGTTGAGACAGAACTAACTAATATACACGGTAGCATTCTTTACGCCATTAGTTGCTCCAACAGCTATTTTGAAGAATTTTCCGAAACGTTGATATAACTGTTTGTTTACTACTGCGACAGGATCCGCTCCGAAAAAATTACATTTTTTTGATATTCTTTTAAAGAGCATCTCTTCAACTATCGTATCATTTCCGATACCAAGTGTTACAACGTTACATTCTTCACTATCCTGAAATTTTTGAGTTAGTTTTGCTATTGAACTATATAATAGTTGCTGAGAAAATATTGCAAATTATTTTTTTTAACAAATGAAGTACTTAGAATTGAAGATGATAATTATTTTGTGTTTGAAGGTACGCTAAAAGACTGTTTTTGAGTAAATAATTTGTCGAGTAGTCATACTGTATTCGGTCTAATTAATTAATTGTGCCATGAAGCTCGACAGAATACGCTTTAGTTATCAAGAAACAGTTTTCTGTAGAATCTGTACTGTAAGCTGAGTTTTCTTCATTTTTATGCTTCTCTAAGACTAATGATACAAGTTTTTTTTAGATGAAAAAATGTTGCATGCTTACTTATTTTTGCTGCATCATGAATTTTTAACATTCCTTTTTGATAAAAAGTTATAGCTTTATAAAAAACTGTTACTCTTATGGTTTTGCAAGGCCAGCGTAATTGTTTTACTTCGTCTTTATTGCTTATTGCCCACGTCTTCAAACGTTTTACAGCACTAAATCTTACTTCACATTCATGAGTTGACAGCCCCATCCTTTCCCACACCTGTATTCTTGAATACGTATTACTTATAGTGTTAAGTAACGATAAAGTATAATTAAATAATAAAATTAGATAATAAATCATCATAGTAAATTTACTACTTTTTAAACTTTGGTTAACAATGCACAATAAATTAAGATATTTATCTGTTGTCTTAACTTATCTATAATAAAGTTTTTAAAAAGTCTCATAAAATATCGCCAAATTCAACAACTGATTTTTTACTGTTTAATAACAAAATAATAACGCAGACGTTTTTTATACAATGTCTTTACACGACTAACTTTCACTGAAAAATTCTGACTTTTTTATAAGACAGAAAATAGTATTTTTAAACAAGCAAAATTAAAAAAGTTGTTGACAGTCGAAATTTCATTACTTTTGGTTTTTACTAACCAAAAAATACAAATTACTCTCAATAATTTGAAATGAAGGCAGAATCAAAATCTCGTACCCCGATGTCTTTCTTATCATTGAGAAAATTTAGGATACATTGTCGATATTTCGAAAAGAATTTTTTGTGCCATGGCACGGAATAAAGCTGAAATAGCTATTACCAAAGAATAGTTTTGTTGAAAAAGCAGTTTTTTAAGAAAGGAGAAAAACTACGCATCTAAAGAAATTTTAATTTGGCTACTTTCAGCAAGAGTTTCGTTTAGGGTTTGTAAAACAAACGTAAAACAACGCCAAGAAAGTATTGTTCAAATCTGAGATATGATGCAGCAGAAAATTTGTTACAAAACAGGTACCTTAAATAACAGAACCGTGTACCAAGTACTGTTTTACATCACCAACCTCGAAAGCGATAGAAAAGTCTTTAAAAATGTAATAAACTGTAGCAATGTGTAAAACAGAAGACATACTTTGGCTTCAACAGCATAACCGTGATATACAGTATATTTTAGGAATAACATCAAGAAGCAAGCGGCGATTATAAAAAATAGCAATGCGCTTCGCAGCTTTAGAATTCCAGTTATCATTCTGTGAAATACATATGTATATATATGTATTTGTAACGTTGAAGCGGTCCCGAAAAAGCTTTGAATGTGTGCTAATGTTTAAGATTTTTCTTTCTAAAACTGTAACAGCAGACGCAACGAGGAGTGGAAAAAAAAAACGAGGACCAAAAAAATTTGTGGAAGCGAACAACAGCAAAAAACACTTTTTTTGGTAAAACCACTGAGTGTGAAAAACCATACGCTGCTCCTCAGCGTAGTTAAATAAATATTATATAGCACAGTAATTTGATATCTCATCAAATTTTTACAGATCGCGTACCGTAGAAAAGAACAGGATGCCTATTCCGTTGACTGACTAGACAGGTTTAATCAAAAGAAAAAAATTAGATTATCTCACTGAAAATCTTGACAAGGTTATTACAATTTACGTGGAACTTTTTGCTCTAATTGAGTATATAGATGTTCGACTTCTAAAACCTATCTTGAAAAAAGTAGCCAGTTCTAGACTGTTTGCTGTAATCCAAGTACGCACGTGTAATTAACTTAGACTT